CTTAATTAAGTAATAATTTATAGCAAACATTTTGTGTTATTGTGGCCTAAGTGCTTGTATCTTACAAACATATAGTTCTAGTTTATACATGTATTTGTAAAATTGAGGTTTAGAGGGATTAAATATCTTGCTCGTGGTTGTGCAGCCGAGTAAGTGACAGAATTGGGATTTGACATTAATAGTTACTCTTGTAAGCCATTATACTATATTACTGCATGCATAGATGTTACCTGTGAAATTTTTCTGTGTCAGGCATTATGCAGTGAGATATATATATTAGTTTTGTGGATGTTTTATACCTTGAAAGTAGGATAAAACTTAAGATAATAGTGTAAATAACTACACCATGCTCTCCCAAGTGGTCTATGATGTAGCTGAGATGAGAATCAGATCTGTCTATCTCTTAAGATTTGTTCCTTTTATATTGTGTTACCTCTGGCAGCAATAATGCTATCTTCCTTTTTCACTCTGATAACAATTGAGGATATGGTGGCTAAAATAGCCATGTGTGAAATTAGATCATGCCACTTAAATGGTAGCTGACACTGACTTATATGATGACAAAAGGTGTACTTTCACTGTTGGTTTAGGGTAACATAGGGGCTTACCTGTGGAAATTGTCTGCGTGGTGCTTGCAGTGGAACGTATGTGGGTAATACAATCTGTCCTCTTTATGTGTGGATTCCACATCCATGGGGACATCCATGGATTCAACCAGCTGTAGAACAAAAACATTTAGAAAACAAAAAATTGCAAAAAGTTCCAAAAAGCAGAACTTGAATTTGCTGCTTGCCGAGTACTGTGTTGAATTCATGTAAGTGAAGTGATGTGTTGGCATTGTTTTAGGTATTATAAATATTCTGGAGATGATTTCAAGTATATGGGAGGATGTGCATAGGTTATATACAAATCTATGCCACTCTTCATGTATGAGGGGGCTCCTGGAACCAACCCCCACGAATATTGAGGAAAACTAATAATCTAAATTCAAAGAGGTAAGATCTTAAATTTATATTAATATATATATATATATATTGAGACAGTCTCAGTCTGTTGCTGTGGGCTAGAGTGCTGTGGCGTCAGCCTACCTCACAGCAACCTCAAAGTCCTGGGCTCAAGCAATCCTTCTGCCTCAGCCCCCTGAGTAGCTGGGACTACAGGCATGCGCCACCATGCCTGGAAAATTTTTTCTAAATAATATTTTTGATTATGAGACATATACGTAAGTCACATTTTAAGAACTTCTGAGTAGCTTGCTCTTTAAAGGATGCATTTATTGACTCCTTTTCTTAACATGCACTTAAGTTTTTGTTAGGGAGTTTTATAAATTTGACATTTGACAGTTTCATCTGTTTTGAATGTTCAAAATGTGTTTAATGTGATTTTCCCGCCAAGAGTATTCTTTATCAATTACAAGGCAAATTTTTTTGTAATATAAACTCATTTTATTATATCGTGAATTTTTGTATCTTCTCACAGGCTCTTGAGAAACCTACATTTAAAAATAGATGGCCATGGTAACCTGGGCAACAGAGTGAGACCATGTCTAAAAAAAAAGAATGACCAATATTCCTAAGGCAGTAACTGTCCCTATACCATTAAAAAAATCCCTTTAAGCCATAGTAAGATTTACTTTATTGTTAAGTACTGTGTTTCCCCTAAAATAAGACAGGGTGTTATATTTATTTTTCCTCAAGAAGACACCTAGGGCTTATTTTCAGGAGATGTGTTATTTTCCCCTCAAAGCCTCAGCTTGCAGCACGCACAGGATGGCCAGGACCTGATAGGGGGAGCCGACCTTGTTGGTGGGGCTGCCCACACCTTTCTGGTCACCTCTGGGATAGTAGCTGTCACGATGGGGCAGATGAGAAGGGCTGCTAGTCTTCTTTACCGCTCCACGACAAAATGCATGGGTTGTGCAGACATACTGAGTAGCCACACCCATCACTAGGTCTTATTTTCGGGGTAGGGCTTATATTGCACAAATGCTTAGAAATCCTGCTAGGGCTTATTTTATGGGAAGATCTTATTTTTGGGGGAACAGTATAGCAACTAATTGTTTCATTAATTATTAAATACCTGTCTTTTATATGGAGTAATAAATTAGAAATTTGAAATTGATATTTTATTTTCTTTAATCTTCATTTCTTTTGGAATTCTAAGAATGGATGAATGGCTTTATTATAAAAAGGACAGAAAAAGTGTACTTTATACAGCTAAATCTTGAAACACAATATGTAACTGTGAATATATGAGAACTTTTTAAGATTTCAATGCTTCTTAACATTGTTTTTATTTATAGGAAAAGTATAGAAAAGGTTGTAATTGTATCCACATACAACTCAAATCTCCTCCTCTTTTGTTACTTTGATTGTTGGCATGTTACCATGTGAAAGGCATAGTTTTTCTATGTGTTTGAATTAACTGAATATAAGTGGTTACGAGTTTTTTTTTTTTTTTTTTTTTAGAGATATAAATGACTTTCTATGTTTTTAAAAGAAAATATGCAAGATGGAAGCTGTGAATATATTTTACTCAAGAATTGCAATGTAGTAAAATTATTTGAAGATCTATAAAGTATTTGACAATATGAATCGAGACTCATTGGAGACAGTTATAAGAGATTTGAATTCATTGCTACTTGCTATAATACCTTTGAAAAATGAACACTATTTAACAAATTAAATGATTTGGGGATATATTTAACTAGGAGTATAAAGGGACACTTAGAAAAGAAGTATTGTCATAATATTTTTTCCTACTGAGCTGCCATTCTGCATCTTTTCTTATCTAAATTCTGTTCATTATTTAAGTCCTGTTCAAATCACATCTCTTTTATTTCAGCCTTGATGCCTTATACTTGCTGTCTTCCCTATTTGGATGTTTTTTATCCCTGGCTATCATAGTAGAACACAGTTCATCTTTCATTAGTTTACAAGTGTCAGTTATGTCTTCTTCACTAGATTTTGAACTTATGGGGAGTGAAGATTATATTTTTTGTGTATCTTGTATAAGTCTATTCAA